CCTAATCAGCTTCGTGATCTACCTGGCCATTCTATTCCATATAATTATCATGATTACGTTGATGCTTGGTTCAAGATCTTCTTGTACCAAAATGAAACTTTTAGTCATTCCTGGTTCATCTCATTTGATCAAAAATTCAAATCTGAGTTACCAACCTGGTTTCTGAGATGGTGGTCTCACTATGGCGCCATTTCAGCCATCCTTCCTGATGATCTCAAAAATATAATTCATTATTTCAACTCTGTTTACCCATTTTCTGCTCACCAGAAGCAATTTCCCTTATTGCTCATATTCATTGCCAAATACAAAATTCCATGGATATTCAAATGGCATTATGGGATTGATGATAATATCATAATCCGTCAACACACAGTTAAATGGTGGGTTAAGTTCAATGTTCCCAGAATTCTTGAAATTGTTCAAGAAGAATTCCCACCTGATCAATATGCTCCAACTCCTGCCCTTGCTCAAGCCCAGCAGAACCCAACTGCTGCACTTACTCAAGGAAGTCAGCCCAGTCTTCCTCCAGTCAATCTTGGAAGCCCCTCATCTAGTGGCTCCAAGCCCAAATCATCCAAATCAAAGTCCAAAGCCATTGCTGCTCAGCCAGTCCAACCAAAGCCCAAATCAAAGTCCAAAGTCAAGGCAAAGCCCATTCCACCTCCTGTTCAGCCCAAAGGCAAATCCAAAGGTAAAGCCCAATCATCTAAAGAAGACATGATCCAGTTAGCCCATCAACTGTTAAATCAAGCTAAAGCTCAATCCACCGATTCAGACAATTCAGACAGTTCAGCCCAGATACATTCCTCTGAAGAATCAACCAATCAGTATTCAGGACCCGAGTTTCAAGATGCTCAGGATCCATTTGTTTAATCAACCTTGGATTCTATATAGATACAAATTAGCTTCAATCAATACTCTTTTGAGAAAAGCTGCCAATTTGTATTTATATTGATTTCATTATTCACATAATTCACCGAAAGTGATGAATAGTAAAAGTTACTGTTCACTTTTACTATTCACCGTCACTATTCACCCAGTCAACTTTTGTTTAAAGCTGCTCAACAATTCAATCAATTAGCCGAAAGCACCCGACAGCATCTACTTTTCACATGCTCGACCAGCTGCTTTCAGAAGTCACATGTTTACTGTTTTGCTTTTTATTTCTTTATATTGTAATCAATTGTAAGCATTCAGGCATTCTAAAATTTTTCTTCTCCATCTTTGTTGTAAGAAAACCAGAGTGTTTTGAGAGCCTTACAAGCTTTTCCGTTGTACCCAATTAAAGATCCTTACAGTTGCTACAATTGTAAGTTAATCAATGTTTCAATGTTTTAATGTTTGAATTTTAATTTTAATATTTTATTTTATATTTTATTTTATATGATGTGCAATCCAGTTAATGTGCAATCCAGTTAGCTTCTTTTGATTTCGTAATCCATCTCCTTCATATATATATGCTGCTTTCGCCCTTTTAAAATATTTTAAAAGCGTACATTTTTTGAGTACAATTTGCTGAAAAAATTAATATTTTGTATTAATTTTTTCAGTACATTTTTTGTATTTTTGTATTTTTTGTATTTTTTCACTCACTCTATACTTTATATATTTATGAAGAAAAAAAAAATGTACGCTTTTAAAATATTTTAGTACATTTTAAAAGCGTACATTTTGCTGAAAAAATATTTTTGGAATACACTTTCACTGTACATATTTTTTTGAGTACATTTTGCTAAAAAAAATGATAATTTGCTGAAAAGATATTAAAAATACAAAAATATTTTTTCAGTATATTTTTGATATTTTTATGTATTTATTAATTTTGTAAAATATTTTTTCACAATTTTTTTACTTTTTAGATACATCTGACTAAGGTGCATCTAAAAAAATTTTAAAAAAATGTTTAAAATTTTTAAATTTTTTTTAAAAATATTCACTAAAAACAAAAAAATACAAAAATAAAAAAACTCAGTTTTCAAATAACTAAATCCAAAAAATTCAAACCAAATACACTGAATACTTTTTAAATAATCATATTGACATTTTGAAAGAAATTGTTTTTTATAGAAAAAAGTACTTTTTTTTGATAAAAAAATTACATAATAAATATATAAAGTATAGAGTGGTGCAAAACAAGCACACTACCATTTGTGCTACAAAGCATTTGTGTTTTATTTTGGTCACATTTTAATATATTTTAAACGTTTTCTTAAGGAAATAGCTATGCACAGTGAAAGCGCGATTTCAAATAGCGTTTTCTTCAAAAAATAAAAACCCAGTGAAAGCGCTATTTCAAATAGCGTTTTCTTCAGAATTTTTTTTTTTTTTATGTTAGAAGCGTGATTTTCAACAGCGCTTTCTTAATTACAAGCGCGGTTTGCAATAGCGCTTTCACTATTCATCACATTTTGAGCTCCAAACAGTGAAAGCGCGATTTGTAATAGTGCTTTAGCTTAGTTTGAGAATTCCGTCCAAACTAGGCCTAGTTTGGGAATTAAGATACAAAATAGGCTTAATATGAAAAAAAACCCCCAATAATTCAAGTTGAGCATGAAGTGACTTATCAAATTCCACATTTACTATATAAGAATTAATGATTCGAAGTACTTTCTATAGATGATAAAGAGATTTTTGCCAAACTACATCAGCAAATATATTATGTAGTATTGTCTACATGTAGGGGCTTAAATTTGGCCCGACCTTGGGCCTAGTAGGTTTCTGCCAAAAATCAGACTTGGCCAAGCCAGCCCAATTCCCAAAAATCTAGGCTATGCCCATCCAAAGTACTTTCTTTGGATGACAAAGAGATTTTTGTCAAGGTACATCGGCAAGTATATTATGTAGTATTGTCTACATGTAATAGTGTAAATTTGGCCCGACCTCAGGTCTATCAGGTTCTTGCCAAAAATCGAACTGAGCCAGGCCAGTCTAATTTCCAAAAATCTAAGCCAGGTCAAGGGGGTAATCGGGACTCGAGCAAGCTAGCGGGCATATGCTTGGACCAGGCCTAGGTTGGGCCTGACAATTTATTTTTTCATCAAAATAGCTTGAAAATGACATTAAGCCTCAAGTAGGCGCTGATCTCAGGATGGCCCTCAGATTGGGCTTGGGCATAAGAACTAAGCCAAAAAAGCATGACGCAGGCCCTAGCTTAGGGGAATCGGGTTAGGCGAGGTCTCAAGCCTAGGTGGGCTAGTTGGCTATTTTTACACTCCTATCTCCATGGTGTTTCTAACCATTGGCAAAAACAACTACAACACTGCTACTCTGCAATTTTTACTAGTTAAAGTATATAAAAAAAAAGGTATACTATTTATTTTACCTAATTATTTTTTTATTTATGTACTCAAACTCTACCCTTAATTTTACTTATCCATTTATATAAATTGTTTAAAGAATCTCTCAAGACTTTCTAAATGTAACTAATTTGAAAGAGTTTTGTTAAATTAACTGTGTAGTAGTAACCTCTTAAAAGAAATAAAATAGAATGAGATTAACTAAATTAGCCAACACACTTCTTTTAAATAGCGAGATTCCTTAACAAAATTTTTTTATGGTGAAGCAATACTGACTTCCCTCAAGTTGGGGAGACAAAAATTATCTTATTCAATGTCTATTATGATTATTCATTGATCAAGAGTACCAGGTAAACTAACGTCATATGATATAATATTTTTGGACTACCTAATAAATTTTCACTCCCCTCCCCCAAATTACAATCCGTTCAATGCATTTTATAAATTAAAAAAAAAATGATCCCAAAATCTTGATGGTGTAAATTCGGAATGTTAGTGTTTGATAAAATATTTAATAATTCATTTAGAATTTCTAACATTTAATACAAAAAAGAAAGAAAGAAAGAAAGAAAAGAGATCGGAACATGAGAATAAATCTGATATCAATACAGAACATCCATTTCCATTATTGTGTATTCTGAAATTGATGTTCCTGTCCTGAACCCGACCTCTACTAATGGGTTTACAGTTTCTAACACTTACCACTCCAAATTAAGTTTTTTGTTTTTATAATTTCTCAATTTTAACAACTATTTTTCTCAACTCTTCAAACTCTCTATCACTGAGTGTACATATAAATTTTTCTTCACAAATGCCATTTTTTTTTCTCATATGGTAAGTGTACAAGAATTAATTGGTTACTTTGTATTTTTATTTATTTTGTGGTTGATTGGCAAGAGCTAAATAACATTTAATTATAAAAGAAAGTCCATCACTTAAAAAATGTCACCTGAAAATTTGTGCCTGACATGTGTCAAGAACTGTTCAATGAATGTCGGTGTTCATGCTTCTGTAACACACATCACACAGTCAGAGAAGAAGAAATGATGGTTTCAAGAAACAACAAAATGAACTCTTTTTGCAGTCTCTCTCTCACACTCTCTTCTCCAACACCCATATTTGAAGCAATGCTGCATGAGAATCTAGTGAAATGCTGATCTTTGTACAATTGAATGGTAAATGATTGGTTTTCAGCTCGGATCAAATTCTCAGTCAGAAACACATTGTACTGCGTTCTCAATCCACTTCTCGGCCTCCAGATCTGCCACTTCTCTCCTCCGGCCGCCGGATCCACTACCACCATTTCACTGCCTTGGCTTGGGACAGAGGTTTCGCTTTTTTTCTGCTTTGTTTGTTGTTTGGTTGTGTGGCTCGAAATTGATTGTAAAGCTTACCCTCTCTGTGATCGTAATCTATGCTTTTATCCTACACTTGTTCTATTGTTGAACTCTTATGAACTGCTTCTACTTCGTAGTACGGACTTTGCATCTTGATATTTTCATAGTTTCTTCTTGGTGCTTCATTTGTTGATTTTTATTTTGTCTGGTGTAAGTTTTTTTTTGTTGGATGAACTCTTTTGTAAGTGCTATTTGGCTTACCTTAATGGTAATTTCTACTGTTCAAAAAAAAAAAAAAGCCATTGGAAAAATTCCAAAACTCATAAGATAAAATTACAAATTGAATTACACAAAAGACCAGACACAATTTTGAAAATGGCAACCCTGTAAAGAATACTTCAATTTCTGTCTCCTGCAATTGTATGTACCACCATCCTATAACAAAAGTATTTAAAAAGCTAGAGATCTATGCATATACCTGTACCTATCATCACTGGCCACAATGGCCTTATACCTTTCTTTAATGTGTCTATATATAGTCTAAATGTACATGCCTTGAAAGCTTAGAAGGCCGATGATGATATTTGTTTATGTTCTCTGCTTCACCGGCTGTGTCTCTGGTTGGGGCTCTGGATATGGATCAATCCAACATTCATCATTCTCTGCAGCTTTTACCCATCGCTTTTTGAATACCTTGAATTCATTGTAGGACTGCCTTCTCACCTGAACAATGGCAATTTCTAATCCCAGTAAACAAAAATAGGGAAACCTTGAATACTTAATGTCTAGAACAAAATGCCTAATCATTATTTTATGCTAGCATTTTGTGTGTTACATTGCATTTGAGCAAGTTCATCTTCAAAATTCAACCTGTCATTTCACCCCTAATTGAGGATCAAATTTGGTTTAGGTAACTTGGAAAGGAATAAGGGAAATGAGAAAAGAAATTTAAGACATTTGAAAATGTTTACAGCTAAAAACGAAAACTTACATGAATGTTAATACATTCCCAATGTTTAAATAATTGCACACGTTGAAGTCTATGAATATCAGAAGCTTACAAAACAAAAGGATTAAGGGCTTAGTTTGAGAAGATGTTTACCAATGAAAAATAAAAATTAAAAATGCAAAATGCAGAATTCTAGTAGTAGTAGAGATGAAAAAACGAGAAAGTACTTTGCAGTAACAAAGAAAGAAAAAGTGACTTGTTTTATCTTCTCCCCGCCCTCTCTCTCTCTCTCTCTCCCCCCCTCTATAGTTTCTCAAACTCTCTAAAAAATTTAAGATTTTTCTTGTTCTCACAAATTTTCTTGACAAAAAGAGGCAAATAAAAATGACTCTTGTAAAATATTCTAATAGGATCTATTTCATACTTGAGCCAACTTGAAAGACAGACATCGCACTTTAACCTTTGTAACCCTAAATTCTTTGCTCATTATTGTCCAGGGCTTACTGGATGACTTAACACACTCATATGCTAGCAAAAGCTATTACTATCCCCAGTTTCTTTTAATTTTCACATTTCAATCAAAAAATTGCATTCAGATGAAATGATGACATAAAGCCAGGGCTACTATGTACTTTTTGTAACTGTTAATAATTGCCGCTGCAGGCAATATGCATACTTCAAAAAATAAAACAAAATAAACATGAAAATAAGATACCAGAAGTACAATAAAAATAAAAAGAATGCATGGAGTAGACCAAAGATTAGACCAAGAAAGTCATCAATAAAGTTCATTTCAAAACTTACTTCAACTCTATAATCGATTGCACGAGACTTGGACAAAGCCTGCAACTCAAAGACAGTAACTCAGTTTGATGCAGATAGAATTAGATAAAGAGAGTTGGAAGTTTAAGAAAGATACATGAGTTTTGACAGTTGGTATGTCTTTAATTTCAGAAGTATTGTCATCCCTGCGAAAATTGTTCTGCACAAATGAGCATTAATGGAAATCAATAACTAAATTGCAAATATATATATAGTATGTAGCAATTATGCAAGTTCTTACAAAAATCTTCATCTGGTCCTAGAGAATGTATAGGCAATAAACATCTCGTTGTGAGGAAGAGGTTAATAGGAGATGTTATGCCAATGGAACACACTGTGCTAGGATTTGAGTATGACAGTTTCATGCATACAGCTCATGAAGATAGCGCTGAAAGGTGTAAATGTACACATCCTTGTAAAGATATTGTATTTCTAACCTTTTTTCTAGGGTCTCCAAGTGTTGGCAAGCCATAATGAACAACGTACTCAGCATCCACAACTCCAATATTTTTGGTTCGATCACCCTATGAAAATAAGATGGAAGGCATCAGATGATGTATTAAGAAGATGATCAAGAATGCTCAAAAAGTAACCAAAATGAACTCAATGCTCAATATAGGAAGTTACCTGTGCACAATAACCAAGCTGTATATCTAGTCCCCAAGCATGGATCAAGTCATTCTGTGAAAAAACGCCGATAAACAATTAATGGAAATGTGGTAACCTGGGTGCGTATTAATATGATAATCAATTTCATAAGAAGAATAATAGAACATGTGAAGAAAGATAGTAATATCACCAGATTATTTTTATACGCACCAAGGAATAAATAAATTTGATAGTTTGTATCAAAATGCATGCTGTAACTGTAACTAATGCAGTGGAGATGACCAACCTGGATCATATACCATGCACAGCTCCAAGCAGCTCTTGAGAACACAGGAGCCATAACCTCTATCCACCTGCGGTACAGATTTTCCTTTTATTCCACTTTCCTACAGTTAAATATCTTGTATATTTTTCCATGATAAGAAGATGAAGTGACAAATAGATTCATCCAAAACTAATCACAACAACAAAAATGCATCAACTTCTTCAGCCAGTAAACTGATTTACTTTTCTTAGCTATATTAAAACTATAAAAACACAATAAAATGGTTTCGTGTAAGTTGATTTTTACCCAGTGCATGGAGGAGTTGTACTTTTCCCATCACATCTATCTGCACCGTCAGTAGGCTTGTAAATCCTCCTGCAGACGTAATGGGCCAAAAATCAATTACAGCAGCCATAATAGATTTACTGAGCGCCATAGAGGCCGGAAATTAGTGGAATCAAAGTCATGTACATGAATATAGCTACAGAAAGGTGACAACTATAATTAAATGGACCTAACCTAACTATATGAATAGTCAATCGATTAAACAACTATTCACATGACCACGATAAAGGAGTTCAATATTGAACAAATATCACGTGAGACAACTCTTAGATCAACCAGAGCAGGGGAGAGCAACCACTCAATCCACAGATCATTTGTACACAGTTCACTCCACTATTTTAAGAGAGTAACACAACACCAAGAAAAGTCAGAGGTTTCCAATGTAGATTCCAGAAAAAAAAAAAAAATCATATAGAAAAATAATTGATGAAAAAAATGAAAGCCCAACAGAGGCAATCAATGGCTTCAAATAGAGTGATATCAATGGTATCAAAATGGTTTTAGATTAACAGCCTCTGCCATCTCATAAGAGCTAAGGAATAATCCATAAATTAGATTCACCTTGGAACCACTACAAACATGGCACCATCCATATTAATAAGACAGACAGTAACTACAGATTTGTAACCTGATAAAAGGCAAATCATTATTTGAAATACAACTTACCTGTGCACATTTGATCTTCTCCCACGTGCTGTAATCTGATGATGCACCTCTGATTTGACTGAATCTAGGGCTGGTTGTGATATCTCAAGGCCTTCGTCTTTAACAATTTCTAGATATCTGTAAACACCAAATAACTTGAAAAATATATACTTGAAATTTTCAAAAAGTAATTACCATATGTCTGCAATATAATTCTTGAGCAGTTATATCTTCATTGGTCCTTGTGGAAAGTTCACATGGATTACAAAGTATCATCTATATCAGTTGATCGCCAAATTTTATTTTGAGAATTGAGAACCCTTTCATCATTCATGGAGTTAAACTCAGAAGAAGAGACATAACAATTTAAAGAGCCGCATGAAACAAAGATTTGAAAAAGGGTAAGTAGTGCCATAGCCAGAGGTGGCAATCATAATCCAAATCCATGAACACACCCACACTGCAAAAAATAATGGTTTAGGAAGGAGGTGCTAATTGGGTTGGTCAAACTGGATCTGACAATTGGCGGGTTAGAACGAGTTGGACAATAGGACTTATCAAAGTTTCTCAGTTTTCTATTTTGAAATCAAAGTCCTATCCTAGTAGAATTAGAAGTTTAGCTGATATAAATGTGTCTTTAATATTTTCTATCAAAGAGGAGAGGAGTTAACTTTATGACAGTTTGAAACTATATTTATGTGGTGTTGGTCAAACCTTGTGAGAATCTTCCATTGCTTAGAGAAGGAAATTGTTCATATATGATATACCTATAACACCCCCCTATTTTGTCTCTAAAACCCTACTCTACCCTTTCACCTGCCTTTTGGTATTAAGTTAAGACCAAACCCTTAAAATATTTCCTTCCTAAAATTTCCACCATCTCATACACCAGCCTGACACATTGGGAACCAAACCAAGCCAATCTCAGCCCCATAACCTATACCTTTTAGAACCTTAAACCTACAACAAGCTTCCCTTAACCTACACTTGCAAAAGAATCAATTTTAGGGAGCATTACTATAGACATCCAAAATTTGTTCTACATCATTGAGCATGTTTATTATGATACCTAGAATAAATTGAAAAGAATTTGCCAATATATGTTACCAGACTCCACGATAGTTGACCACCTAGTTTATCTTACGAGCTCCTTTAGTGCTTTAGCATTTTCAAATGCCCATAATTTTATTGTGTGCTCAAAACAATTTGATTGATTTTTATGAGAACGAAAATGGGTTGTATGGTCTTGGGCCATTTTTCATTTTATTGCAAGCGGGGAAAGAATTCAAAATCAACAGTCAAGGCAGCCACTGGAATAAGGTACCATCCTAATTAAGGCTGGTGACCACGAGTGTGGTTTGCAATTACTTAGGACTACTGTTTTTTGAGCATCTACAATTACTTAGCACTACTGATATTGCTCTGCTAACATTTACATGAACACAACATATGCAGGGTGCAAAGCCTGGCAAGTGATAGTAATTATTTTGCTAATCTTTAAACACAATAGTCACATACCGTTCCGGATGAAAATCTTCAACTCCAAGATCCTCATCCCATAGGAAAATGTAATCGTACTCTGCAACTATATCTGGATGTAAGAATCGTTTGGCAAACCACCTACTTTTTGCCATCGATGCCATCATCATCATCATCATCATCATCATCATCATCATAAAAAATCTCATAGAAGATTATAAGCAAGGTGTGGGAGAACATATTTATAAAAATGAAGATTTTATTTGAAATGGTTATTTTTATCCAAGAGGAAAATCTTAATGTAATTTGTTTTTGCAAGTATTTGTGGATGTAAGAATGGTTGGCAGCCACTCATCATCATCAACAATGATGTAGAATGTCAAAAATAAATCTAACAACACACAATTGAAAATGAAATTTTGATAACATTCTTAGATAGGATTAAAGAGCTAACCAAATTACCATTTAGTTTGATTAAGTGCAGATATATGTATGACACGATCACTCCATTTTAAATCCTTCCATTTATCCACGATACCATCATAATGGAAAAGCATCACAACAAAATCACTTGACAGAAACTGCATTGTGAGAAAAAAGCAATTAACCATGCACGAACTAAATTCGGAAAGTAAAAGAGTATAACAGTTATAATCCTTACCTTTCTAACCAACTTATCCACCATGGCCTTTTGCTTTATTCCAACAGCAACAGTGAACAAGTTTGAAGAATTTCCCTTCTTCTGTTGCAGAATATGCAAATTGATACATATATTGAGCTCAATCAAATAAACAGGGCAGGGAACAAAATTTGTGTCAAAATCTAGAATTGCAGATTGCATTGTTTAGATTTTAAAGAAAACACAGACACACACATGCATGCAACAACCCATTCTTAATAAAAGGCTGCTCAACCAAGAACAAAGTTGAGGTTGGACACGGTTGAACCTGACCTGTGTCAGCCCTCATATGCCATCATTCTTTCCTTTGTTCAACATAGATTTAATGAGGTTGTTCACAAGAAAAAATATACTGAGGCATTTATAGTAAGAATCTAGGATTTGTAATTGCAAAGTATTGGCAACGGATATTCTTTAACTAACATATTGTTGGCTAATCAAAGAATTAAGTAAACGAATGGGAAAGCAATAGTTGCGCGTAATCTTATCAAAGTTACTGAAAGAAAAAAAAGAGAGTACTTATTCACACAATTGTATCAAATATGAGGTGTTGGCCAAAAAACAATGGAAAAGCCAGGTAGTCGGAGACTATCAGAATAAATGCATCTTGAAAGAAAACATATCAATGGCACCAATAGCTACAGAAAAAAGTTAGTCCTCAAGGAAATGTTGTGGTCAATTGCAGTACAAATAATGGAGAGGACGGGTGAGTGATAGAGATGCAAAGAAAATATTGATTAATACTAGTCTAAGGAAGCAGATGCATCAAATTTGATTTCAGCATTGCTTAGCCTGGAAAATTAGCAGAAACACACACGCATGCAGTCAATCATGCACACACACAGATCTGCTTACATAGCTTCAATATTCTAACTAAAAGACAAACATAACTATTTGTGCTAGGCTTCACAAAAGATGTGGTTGAATTCATAAAGGGAAAGAAACATGGTTCTAGAGGGAACTAGTATTATAATTTACTTCCTCTGTTCCACAATGTTAGTCCCTTTTGAGAGTTCCAACTTTTTAAGGGGACATGTAATTAATGCATTCAAATTAAAATCGAAAGGCATTGGTTTCGCAAATTGTCCCTTTATTCTCAATCTTAAACTAAAATATATTCAGTCATTTATGAGGGATTAATTTTGGAAAATTGTAATATTTTATGCTTACTTTTCAAAGAGGACAACATTTTAGGACATCCCGAATTGGGAAAAAGGACAAACATGGTGCGACAGATGGAGTATAATATTTGCAAACACAAATGGTAGAGACTTAGACAAAACCAAGTAATCCAAAATTATCACTTATTGACCAATACCTTTGGCGAGCCCCATAACGGTCGCATTTCCAAGTTAGAAGTCTTGGAGACAATACCTGTAGGTAATGACTCAGTTCCAGGAGGCCTGCACTGACTCTAAAAAGCAGAAAACAGAAAACATATAAAAACAAGAATCAATCTTAATCCCTATTACTTATCTCTACATATTAAACTAAGTTCCATCAAGATTTGAGATTCTTTTGCAATCAGCTATCAAGTTTTAGCCTGAGGTCAACCCTCTATTAATTTATATCAAAGTCCTAGGACGCTAGTTGATTGCATAAAATGGAATTGCCATGAATGTTAGCCAACACCAGTCAGGAGCGTGACCAACACAATATTGCAATAAATTCAAACAAATTTGGCAAGCCAGAAGTTTAAGAAAGTCAATCAAAGAGAAAGGAAATCATTGAAAGCATGTACAGAAAAAACAAACCTTGCATTGGTTCGCACTCTCAACCGCTAACCCCCATCTGAATAATTTCTGTGCAATAAGATCAAACTTATTCGGTAAATACAGAATATATGAAACCAAATTTTGTGCAGTACAAGAATGTAAAAAAGCATGAACCCAATATATTTGAGTTAAATATCAACGCGTCTTTATGTCACTAAAATAAAAATACAAAATTTTTTCTGGCAAAATTAAATGAAGAACAAAAATAGTTAAAAGGTAACATTTTAAGCAAAACTACACAGATTCATGAGAAAAACTATAAAAACACAAATCTGTAGTGCATAGCTTCAAGAAGAATAACCCAAACATGCCATAGTTATGGAATTTAAGAAAGTACAGATACCTCTTTAGGATCTCGTGCTAAGAATGCACTTCCTATGAAGAAAAGTAGACACAATAAAGAAGCTGTTGGAAAAAGGCTGAAGATACATGATCTTCTACTATTTGGATCTGCTAGTCGAGATGCCTGTAAAATTATTATGAGCAACAATAATCGATAGTTGATTAGTCCCAGCCTTACAATTATACAAATGCATAATCGAGACAATCTTGTTCAATATAATGAGTAAAAGACAAATAACAAAAGCATGACATGTACAGAACTTTCCATGTGTAAGGCCACCTATGCTTTGTGATATAGATATAGAATGTTAAGTAATTAACAATCACTATAAAAAGGATGTGCTGGGAAGATGGCCTTAAAAAGCCATGGAAAATTAAAGGTGTGTACCATGTACCTCCAGTTACATCATTTGTGGCCGTTGGTTATGACTCATTGTGGTGTTTGTTGTGACTTGGTTATGACTGCTAATTATGACTTAGTTATGACCTCTTGTGATTTTTATTTTGATTATAACTGAAGAGGTCTTTAGTTATGCCTCAAGTTGTGTTTGGTTATGACCCTTGATTATGACTCATTGTGATGTTAGTTATGACCTATTATGATTATTATATTAGTTATGACTGAAAAGGCCTTTGGTTATGTCTTAAGTGATGTTTGGTTATGACCAATTTTATTTTTTAGTCATGACTTGCATATGATAGACAACTAAAAAAAAAGTGTATATTGTAGAATGACCCAAATGCCATATAATAATAAAATTGCATCATGAAAGCATATTCCTTCTTTCAGAGGATAATAAACTGCAATTGCAGGGGAAAGTTTCAGAAGCTAAATTTGCAACAAAATTCACCCAATGAGGAATTCTAACTGAAGTTAACTGCAATTTTGTTTGGAAAAAAAAATGATGATAATTGAGCAACTGCCTTTTTACTTAAAATTACTAGAAACTCTTGAACTTTAATAAATGCATTTAAACTGCACGCCAAATTGATTTTTATGGCTTGGCGCGCATTGACAAGGTTTTTTTTATTTTTATTTTTATTTTTTTTCCCCACACCCAATATACAATGGAAACTAAAAAAACCCAACCCGAAAGAAGTTTCAGGGGAAATTATAATTTGGTGTTGTTTTCATGAAAAAAATTAAGACTTCAATTATTATTATTATTATTAATGTTTATAAAGTTCGGAAATTATTTTTAATCTGTAATTGTCCCTAAGTTTTATTTGCTCACGGAGAATAAAATTCACTCAAGCATCAGAACACACATAAAATCATCCTTCAGACATCAGAATTTTAATAGGATGACAAAGCAGAGATAGCTATGCATACCCACAACAACAACAACAACAACAGGAATTGCATTGGTCACCAATTACAATGAGAAAAACCAAGAAAAGCACAAAACTCTAGTGCACAAATATGTATATATATGAATAGCAGAGTAGAAAGGAGTGGCATACAAGCTTCATCTCCTATGAAAGTCCAAAAGCATCCACAACAGACGATACACAACACCCTGGTTGTGCCCTCCTCTCCACCCAATATCTGTAACCCCAAAAAAAAATCAAAAACATGTTGATCAGAATTTATAGCGATATCATCATCATGAATATAATTAAAAAATTAAAAAAAAAGAAAAAAAACAAGAAGTTGTTAATGAAATTAAAGTATCTCTGCCTACCTATGGAGTTCGAGAGAGAGAGAAGGGGAGAGAGAAAGATATTGGGAGTTAGAATTCGTGTTTGAAACATGAACCTATTTCTACGGAGAGAGAGAGAACGAATGATAGAGATAGAATTGATCGTAGAGAGAGGGGTAGGAGGAGTCGACAAAGGGAGAGAAAACGACCACCCCGAACTATACGGCCAATAATTATACAAGTTAATAAATATAGACTATAGACTATAGTTTTCTTATGGTAATCATATGATATTGGTAATAATGGTGGGGATATGCGGTTTCCACTTTTTCCACTACCCCCACCACGTTCCACCCATCAAACCCAACCAAGCAGCCTTCCCTCCATTTCACTCCCCTTCACTGTCCATTTATCTTCTTCTTCTTTTTTTTTTTTTTTTTTTTTTTTTTTTTTTTTAATTATTATTTTTTTAGTTTTGAATTGATAAAAAAGATATGCAGTGGAAACATCATACAATCCCCGGGCCCTGATTATGGGATAATTTGTTGGCGGTCAGATTTAACTCAACTTAAAGGACGGAACTCACTACCAACGCATCCAATGAAACTCAACTACGTATCACATAAGAGGTTAAGTATCGATCGGAGTACAACGTGGAGTCTCCGAAAAGAGTCAACTAGACAAAGTCAACATTATGCGCTCCCAAGAGTTGAACTTAACTCACTCCTATAGAAAAAGTCTCCGAAAAGAGTCAACTAGACAAAGTCAACATTCTGCGCTCCCAAGAGTTGAACTTAACTCACTCCTATAGAAAAAGATTGCCTTCTCCATGAAGCCACCGCCTTCCATAGTCACTATCGATTTATTCTTAGTTATCCAAAATTGTTGTAATCTTATTTGAAATTTTTAGTGATCTTTGGTTATTGTTGTGGTATGTTAGTATGATATTATTTTTTTTATAATTTTTTTTAAAAATTAGTTGTAACTTATGTGTTATTTGTTTAAGACTCTGTGTGTGTGTGTGTTATAACTAAAATTGATTTAATTATGATAGTTATAACATGTAAATTTTATAATTTGTATATAGTACACACTCCACACGACCCTAACAAATTGGTGAATATGAATTCAAGAATAGACTGTTCAATTTTTTGAAGACTAGTATGATTCGATTATATGACTAGTAATATTCGATCAACTTAATTTTTTTGGGTAAATTACAAATACATCCCTTGAGATTTGGGGGCTTTTCTCAAATTAAGGCAAAATAGCAACCTATTTCCCAAACTAGGCCTAGTTTGGACGGAATTTCCAAACTAGGTTAAAACGTGGTTGTGAACCACTCTTTCATTGTTTTTCTGCCTCTCAAGTGAAAAATTTGTAAAATCATAAAAGCGTGTTTCCAAACCACGCTTTTAATTAGGAATCACGCTTTTAAGTAAATTTTTTTTTTCTTCTAAAAATGTGATTGTGAACCATGCTTTTAAGTAAAATTTATTTTTTGCTGAAAACGTGGTTGTGAACCATGCTTTTAAGTGAATTTTTTTTTTCTTGAAAACGTGGTTGTGAATCACGCTTTAACTGTGTAATTTTTTTTTCCAGAAAACGTGATTTTGAACCACGCTTTTACTGTGATTTTAAATATATATATATATATTTTTTCAAAAAACTTGGTTCAATACAGTTTTTAAATTATTCATATAAAATATCGTATTTGAGAGGGAGATTTATGATCTGGAATTGGGCCGAGGTAACGGCCGAGCAGGTTGAGAGCCTAATGGTGCATGGGGCCGAGATGACCGGCGATCCGCCCGGAGATGAGCTGCCAGAACTTGGGCCGGGCAGGAATTGGGCCAAGCATGTGCTGCCCCAGACCGTAAAGAAGCTGCTCGGCAAGGCAGTGCTCGGTTGGACCGAGCTGCTTGATCAGGGGATGGTGGAAGCCAGTCAAGCTGAGTGACCGGCGCCCGGAAAGGCGTGGTCAGCCGAGGTAATCGTTTGATCGGCAGGAAGGCCGACCACAGGAGGTGCCCCGGGCTCGGCTTTGCCGAGATGCCGCCTAGCCCGGTCCTCCTTGGACTTAGCCAGTAAAGTGCTTGGGTATGAAGCACAGCACAGCCGTGGATGGAGCAGCTCGGCTGCCGAGCTCCAGCTGAGAAGGCAGGCAGTTGAGATTAGGTGATGTTCAGCAAGGTTTACGCTGACAGATGGGATAGTGGAGCCACGTGTCAGGAGATGACTGGGAGTGTATATGGGGCGCAGAGGGTATATAAGCATGTTTGCGCCCCCCATACGCGACAGACGAACATTCTGTAAGGAAATTCTTACACTCAAACACTCCTCTCTCTCTTTCTCTATCCTAAGGTGTGTGCTAACTTGATCGTCGGAGAGTATTTCTGGCCACACACCGCCAGGCAGCTCACTGTTATTTGCTCGCAGGTGATCGGACATAAACGGAGCTCGGAAGAAAGGAGTACGGGCTTGCCGGAATATTTGCTCCCCGTACAGTATTGTTCACAACTTTTACTATCGAAATATAATTTTTAAGGAAAGCGCGACCACTCACTGTTGATTATTATTATTATTATTATTATTATTATTATTATTATTATTCAATCCACATTCTATAATTCGCTTAATCATCTTGTAGATCTCTATATATAAATTATTCATATAAAATATCGTATTAAATTTGTAATCTTAGCTACCAAATTTTATTATTTTAATATTTAAAAGTCAATTATATAATTTGGAAATTATGTTTCACATCCATTATTTTTTTTAAAAAAATGATAAAATTATATGTACGATTATCAGATCAATTTGATATTTACATAAATAATTTATACATTAAATTTTTAAAAATAAACAGCATGCATTGTCTAAAGAGTAGTGAATTGTGTAAAAAATATAAATTAAATATTTGCTTAATTTACCTGATATTTTTTAAATTGTTATTTAAATATAAAATTTTAAATAAAATTTTATTTTGTTATATAATTCAAATATGATTTTAAAAAGATTGATGATGGACAAAAATAAAAACAACAAATAAAAAATTTAAAAATAAAAATTAAAAAAGAAGAAAAAAATAATGGCCTCGAGACACGCACCCCCCAAAGAACATTTTGCGCAATTTCGGAGAAATTTTGTCAGGGCTTTTCCCAAACTAAGCCCCTATACGAATTTATCTCCCAAACTAAGCCCCTATACAAATTTATCTCCCAAACTAAGCCTACTTTTTGCAGATTTTTCGAAACTAAATATTTGTTGCCACGAAATATATACATAAAACTTGACACAGCATATATAAAGTATCTAATTTGCTAATTACTACTATGAACAGGAAAACAAAATAAAGGTATGACTATAACACTTATAATACTTTAGAACGCCGTAGCTAGTTCAAACATAAGTATCCCACAAAAATAATGGTTGGAAACATTCAACAAAACACAGAACATAAAATAAAGCGACAAGTACAATACTTAACAGTTACATAGACAAATATTAGACAAACCTTTTACAAACTCATTGTCGAAAGAGTTATTTTAACACACACAACATATAATTATGGATAACCTAATATAATTTAGCAAATAGATAAACGCCTAATCCTCGCTCAAACCGGCAATCTCAGAGTCCGAACAATCAGAGAGCTCAGGGTCAGAGAGAAGTGCAGGATCGTCCTTGATAGCCTTGATAGCCGCAGCATTTGGTGTTGTTCCGTTCTTCTTGGCATCCGACTTAAGTATAGATAGTTCCATATAGCGGGCTGACCTACGATGTATTTGAGAAATCTCACGTCGAAGTCTTTCACATAGTCGATCAACTTTATCTGGATCTTCCTTTTGGATCTAAACTGAACGTGCTTTTGGCACCTTCAGTCGATTTTCTCGACATAATCTTTCCATTTGCACTTGCTCTATAAATAGTGCGAGCCACTTCAGAAGTCTAGCGTCTGCTAAACCATATCCTGTTTGATTATAAGATGAATCCTCCACGAAACCACATGGATCTCGATAGTACTTGGGCATGACAAAATGTCGCTTCCCAAACCTATCATGATAAGCACAAGAGGCATCTAACAAAGTAAATGGTGTTTCATCTTCAGCATCGCCACTTCTCCTTCCCGTTCCTGTTCCTCAGCATGAACTCTCACCTCTTTCGAAGTTCCTACCCCCTGCGAGTCCCCTTCCCATTCTTCTTCCTCGTCGTGAACTCTCACATCTGCGATTCCTACTCCCTGCCGTGAATCTATACTCCATTTGACTTTTTCTCAATATATGAACGATAGTTTCCTAGGGCGAACTGAGTGGAAGGGTTATGTGTTTACCATCACTCCTTCAGTTCTTTATATAGTTGTTTGTCAACACTATTGCCATGTGGTCGTATTAATGTGACTTAGGTGGATTCTGAAATGTGAGGAAAAAACAAAGCATCTAAGTCGCGCTGCATAAAGTCACATACATCACTGCATGTGACGAAAAAAGTCACAAAGTATATAATTGACAAAGTCAGAAAGTCACATACATCACTGCATAAAGTCACATGCATCATTGCATCTGAGGAAAAAATTCACATACATCACTGCATTACTGCACAAGTCACATGCATATGAGGATAAAACAAAGCATACAATTTATTACGTCTGTTAAAGTCACTGCATCACTAAGAAATGTTGGACGTAGCACTGCGCCAAGCTACAATTTATTATCGTACCATAGCTACTGTGCCCATGTGGGTTCTACAATTCATAATGGGACGAGGGGTGTTAGAACAAAACAACAAAACAATTAGACCCTTTGTGTTTAAAAAGCCACCCTATGCAGCTCCATATAGATTCATAAACGTTGAAGATAAAATATTATAGAGTTAGAATGTATTGAAGATTAATTTGTAGTAGAGTTAGAATGAATGGGTTTTTCAATGTATAGAACTTGAAAACGTTACTGATAAAAGCTAGCCTAGTATGCAAATAAGAACAACACCGACTTAAATGAACACATAGTTCACTTCAAATTAAATTGGTCAAATTTCTCCAATTAAATTAAATGAAATATGTAAGGTGAAAAGTGAAATTAAATATATTGTGAAGGCAAAATAAATTGAATTATATTTGTAAGCGGAAAAGTGAAATTAAATTTCTAAGCGGATTTAAACTTTGCTTAAAACCTTCAGATATGCATTGAGTAGTAAATAAAAGTT